CCTCTGTGAAGTTCGAAGTCAGCTAAAGGACTAATGATAATCATCAAAATGCCTGCGGTTAGAAATTAATTATATTAATTAATAACAGGAAAAAGGATTAGATAAAATATTATATTTGAAGAGAGGTACATTCAAGTATTTTTTCAAAATAATACTTACACCTTGACCAAAACTTTCAATCCAATATTTATTTGTTTATCTGAATGGGAGGGGGGGGGGGGAAGATGGGATACGGTTCGAGACTGCTAACATGTAAATGCATGAGAAAAAAGTGGCTGAGTGCAATCCATTTTAGTTCTGAACAAGTAGATTGGTAGCGTATTGATATGTCCTCAAAATGTAAATTAATGCAGACATTCTTAAAGTAACTTTTCTTAATCTTGTCAAGATAATCAATGTAGTCTACAAACGCGACGAATAAAAATCGATTGCATGCTGCCCATAACTAGAGAAGACTGTACGTCAAGGCTAGATCTCCTTTCACTGTTTTGTCTTTTGACTTTGGAAAAAAACTCGTGTTTTCATAATGGAGTTAAACCTTAATTAATCACATTAAAGAACAATAATCTAATCTCTCGACTCTAATTTAAGCACAAGCACATGCTTCGCACCACCATTTATCATGTCGGGACGATTTCGAGTTAACTATAGGGCTGCTCCTTTGAAGTGATTATAAAGGAATTATTTTGATCCACCATGTTCTGCATGCTGCAAGTCCAAATTCGAGATTATAGTGTAAAATCGGAGGCGCCAAACCAGGAGACCCGTTATTGACTCAAGTGTGCTATTTTGACCACATGATAAATCCCTTCGAAATACTGTGATTCAGCATGTGATGCCTTTCCATTCATCAAATGTGTCTCGTTTGCCTATTCGACGAGTTGGAAACGGGAAAGTATGCTTAAATGTAATCTGACATAGACGTGCTATTACTATTGCCTTTGAACTTAGTTCTAAGTACGTCAGATTGACGACGAAGGTGGTGAACACTGGTTTGATCAAATGTGTCACACCTACAAGAAACAGCATGATTTTCCCCGTCTCCATGGCTTTAATAGTAACCATAGTCGTTTTACCTGTAAGAGTGGTGTTGCATACCTAAACACACACACACACACACACACACACACACACACACACACACACACACAC